CCTTCATTGAAGAGGGGAGGCAATTCTGGACCGACAGACCTCGCCTGACAAGTCCGAGTTGTAAAAGCGAAAAACGGGGGCAGCCCTTCCCCGGCGCCTGAGCCACGCCGCTGCCATTGCAGTCTCGCTTCGCATGGTGCGCGATGGCTACATCTTTGCGCCGCATGGCTCCACAAAAAACAGAAGCGGCACAGCGGCAGCCCAGGCGTTGCTGCAGGCGCCGGGGGCCAGGGTCGGGCGCCACAGCGACGCATCGCCCGCCTCGTGACGCGGATGCGGAAGCGAACGATCTCGTGCCGAGACTTGCCGCGCGCGAGGTGCACCCAGCGTGGACACTATCACGTTCAGCCCGAAGCCGCAAGCTTCGCCGCACCAAATCCTGGCCGAACTCGCAGCAGACCACGCGCATGACCGGCGCAGCCCTGGACCTCGAAGCGAAGCTCCGCCGCGGCCCTGACCCCCTGTGAGCTTTCTGCAGCCAACGCCCTCACCGCCCGTCATGGCGACCGCCCAGGCCCCAAATCCCTGGCAACCCGCGCCTTTGCAACCGCCGCCTGGCCCCGGTTCAACTCTGGGCCGATCGCCTCATTGCCAACCGTCGTGCGCGAGAAAGTGCCGCCTCGGCATGGTGACACTATCCAACCTTCGGGTGGCATGGATGCAGGATGCACTCAGGAGACACGAGGCATGCATGCCCGCCCAACAACTCCATGGTTGCGATGGTGAGTTGCAACTAGCCGCTAGCCAATGAGCCCAAGCGCTGTTCCAAGGCAACCGTGGAGGCGTTGGTGCAGCTTGGACGCGCATCCACGGAAAAGCTGTGTTGAGCGTCGAACGTTCAGGCGTTTGCGACCATGTGAGTGAACGTGCTGTCAGCCTGGGCGGACCCGCGTTCTCCTTCGCCTTCATGTCGTTTTTTCCTGTGGCTCCTCGACCACATGCGTCTTCTACACTGGTCAGGGTGTAGCGCCCGAACGTCGTGCTCGGTTCCGCGGTGCCTGGAAGGCTGACGGAATTGCAACGCCGAGGCCCACCACTTCGCGCGGAGACCTGGTGCGGCTGAAAGACCCGACCGAGGTGAATACGTCCTCGCGTACTTGGATGACGTTACCATTGTTGCCCAGCCACCGCAAGCCTTGGATCTCGTCCGGTGGTTTGAGCGCCACCTCGCGGTTCAAACCCGCCTCTGGCTGAACCTGTCCAAAACAACCATGTCGAACTAGGCTGGCATCGGTTTCGATGGCCCGCCGAATGCTCTCCGCACGCTCCCACCTGTCAGCACGCACGAGTACGCAACTCGTCATGATGCAGCAGTGTTACGGTGCCTTGACTCACTCCTGTTCGCTGATGCCGCAGAGGGCTTACCCGGGTTAGTCGCCTCGTGGGCAACCACGGTGGCCAGGGCCGTCGCACGCAGTGCGGTCCGTCATGTGGCAGCGGCTGTTTGCCCCTCCTGGCCCAACACTCTCCCAGCCGTACTTAAGCGGGACCGCCATTTCGCCTTCGACTTGCCCAGAGCATTGAAACAGCAACAGAGTAACATTGCTACCACTTCAAACTGCCTGCGATCCTTTGTCCACAGTTGGCTTGGAACCCCCGTCCTGGCCCGAAATGCTTCATGCAATTTCACGGAGACGAGTTGCTTCCGCTCGGCCAAGACCTCTTCGACTCACAGGCAGGACCGTGCCTGGCCCGTGATGGCCCGCGTGTTCACTGCACGGCCCATTTCGCCTGAGCTTTTCCTGGACTCTTCCTGTTCCGAGCTCTTCTGTTGCATCGGCTCCGCTTGCCACTCCCGCTACTGCAGCGAGATGCCTGTGTTGCCAACCACATGATGCATTCGGAGATCACCCTGCCGCTTGCCGGCCGCCAGGGTATGCAGGGAGGCGAGCGCTACCGTTGCGACGCATGCTTTAGTGTGGGATCTCAACGTAGACCCTGTCCGCCCGCACGAAAGACGCCTGATCGCACCAATGCACCACAGACCGGCCAAATGCCGCTTCCGGAATGGCACAGAACGGGCCTGTGGCAATCGATGCCGAAAAATTCTTGGGCAACCTACGCGGGGCCCAGCGGGGAGCTGCCGCCGGGCCATCTGGATGCACAGCCGCGCAGTTGCGCACTTTGCGTGACGACGAAAATTGCTCCGATCTCCCCCTCCATGCCGCCCAACTCAACGGCCTGGGTTTCGGGCGGCTGCTTGCGTCGCAAAAGCGAAACGGAGGCATACTGTACGTGCCCACAACGTGCACGGTGATGCTGGGACTCTTCGCGGTGGGCGTTCGCCCGACCATTGTGGCGGTCCACACCGAATGCGGGCCACGTGCTGACCTGTATGGGTGATATGTATGTGTCATGCGCTCCAGGAGACGCATGTGCCGCTCTTGTCACCCTGTGCACGGAGCTCAAACGCCACGCTAACATCGATGTGCACCTTGGAAAGACGCATACGTCGAATTTTATATGCAAACAACAGCTGGGCAGACACCTTCCGAGTGTTGCCCGCCGCTGTGAGCAGTCCAAGGGTCAGCCCGAAACCTGGTCGAATTGGCAAAGGCAGCGACGCAGCTGCAAGAGGCCGGGCTCGTGTTGCCGACGTGGGACCAGCCTTACGGCCCCCCATGTCGGTTGACGTGCGGCGCCTGCAGCTCAGTTTGTTTGGACGGTTGAGTACTGCTGATGGCACGGACGATGGTCATACTGTGGCATGTCGGGTGTTCAGCTATGCTGTGCATGTTCCAGGATCCTGGGCTCACGGTGTCCAACGGCAGTTACAGTCCTGTGGCGATTTGCTGCCTGCTGATTATGGGGTAATGCCGGGAGCAAGGGCGGCCCAATTGCAGTGGAGGCGGTCGGTGGTCCAACCTTTTTTGCAGCGCGAAGCTTTGGCACAATACCGCCTCGAGATTGCTGCTGTCCCTTCCTTAGGGTCTTATATCAACCGCATCCTGTTTGCGCTCGGCAAGTACATCACGTGGTGCGCCTTCGCCATAAGTGCGACGCGCTTTGTTTTCACTGCTGACGGCGTGGACAGTTGTTTCAAGTCTGAGTCTCTGGATGAAGCTCGTGCCACTGCTTCGCCGCAAATGCCCGCTGCAGCCCTCTCCAACGTTGCACTGGGCGTTTCCGGGAACATCGGCAGTCGGGCACGTTGCGCAGTTGTCGCCTGTAACGCATCGCGAGCACGTCCGCAATTACGGCAACCGCCTGAGCAACAGGACTCGGAAACAAGTGCTTGGGAGTCGGAATTTTTGGAGGTGCGGGTTCCTTATGCGCTTACGGCGGGTGAACCCACTGGGCCTGCCCATCGCGCACGAAGCCGGGTCAGGTCAGGCCGTGGCGGCGGCTCGCTGCCACCCTCGCAACTCACCTACGACAGCAACAACTGGGGCGCCCTTAGGCCACATGAGCAGACGGCGCCCAAATGGCCGCGCTTTCTGATCCCGCAAGCAAAGCGACGCCGCATCCAAGAATAGAGAGCCGCATAAGAGGGAAGGCAGCACATATGCCCGGAAAAGGCCAGAGCGGAAGTTGGTGCACAAACCTCGGTTTTCAGCGCAGCTTATGCTCTGCTGAAATTTCCTAAAGCTGCTTTCAATACCTCGTTGATCATGCTCCCGCCGCTTGCCGGAAGCTTGAAACACCACTCCCAAGTAACAGTAGTGACCACTTTACACTTGTGACTCTGTAGGCAGGGTGTTCTGTCGGCAGCTTCGGCGGTGCGAGAGGGAAAAAAAAACAGTAGTGACGCACACAGAGCACAAGCTCTCCCTCGTGCGCGAACCCATAACGAGAACAGCCGTTTTATCAGGGCCGATGCCAAAAGAGAACCGCTACTGCGAAGCCCAGACCCCTACGGAAGTGAGAGCATTTTGCAAGTCTGACGGGTTGTCCGCAAGGATGACGAAGTCATCAGCACACAGCAGTAAAGTAACACGCGGCGCATTAGGTCCATCACCAAATGCAACACCAGGGCAAACAGCCGTTCACAGAAACTCGCGCAATGGTATCGGCGATCAGGTCCTGCAATGACCGACCGTAAGCCACCACTGACCCCAGCAAAGGCCAGTTTCAAAAGAACGGCATCTCGCCAAGCCACATCAACAAAAGCGCATAATGTGCGGCGACGGGCACGCAAACGCAGAGTTTCTTGCAAGGTGTAGACCTGCTCCTCAGCCCTGGCTTTCATCAAGCAGCGGATCAACATGCGGCAACAGCCGTTTCAAGACAAACCGCTCAATGACTTTCTGACAACTACACAGCAAGTTGATTGGACGTTCGTTCGTGAACTGATCGGCTGGCAAATGCTGGCAACCATAAGATCGTGACAATCATGGTCCCACCAGTTTGGCTAGGGACGACGAGAAGTCTGGCGATTACACGCCGTCTGCTGGGGCAAGCTCCACATGAGAGATACGAACAAGTTGAGCGACCGCAGAGTGGTCGAGGCGTTTGTGTAGCCTGTTCATGCCTTGTCTAGGGTTCGGTGCAGCAAGCCGTCGCCAGCACGGCTCTGGGTTGCGCCTGGCTACACTCCGCGGCATGCGGGGTGAAAACCCAAAAAATCAGTTGCCCCCATGAATGCCCTCGCCTTCTTCGCATGTGTGCGTCGTAGCGAGCCCCTTGGCACATACGTGCACATTCAAGTGTTTCGGGGTCGAGGTCGGCAGGATCAGCCGCAATTCATGCTGTTCGCCTGGGCACCAGCATGTCGAGCGTTGCGAGGCGTGCGTGGCGCCATGCTCCGCAAGCCCATGGCGCACGCTCTGTGTACTCGGTTGCTTCGCGTGCTTGCGCCCGCTGGTGCCACGTCATGCCACGTCGCAAATAGTCTCACCAAGCTTGGGTGCTTGTTGTCTGTGACGCTGCAAGCATTGGCTCAGTTGCAATAAAGAGGGTGCGCGACAGCTCCTGGCACCGTCTGCCGCTCCTGCCACTCTTGCATTACAAGCATGTCGTGTTTAGAAACGCAGCACGAGTGATTTGATGAGGTTCTCGAGATGGAATCGTTTGCCGAAGGGCGTGTGGAACAGCGACTGCAAGCAGCTTTGGAACGGGTTCGAGTCATACTGGATGCAACGAAAGATCCGCAAGCAGCTGGCGACGTTCACCATCAGCCACCTGGTTGCCTTGAGTTCATGTTGTTTTGAGGAAGCTCGCGTTTGTGTTGTCCTCAGGGGCCCTGTGTCCGGAATCAACATGAAGCAAAAAACACGCGGCTGAGACTAATACAGGCCTTTTACAGAATAGTTTGTTTGATATTGTTTGATGGATGATTTTGGCACATGAGACCCTCGGGTGTGTAGGGCATTTCGGACATTTTCGGACCTTGGACAGGTCCTGCTCTGCTCACTGGTAGCAAATTGCGTGGGAACAACCTGAAGCATGGGTCCGGGTAATCCGTCCTGCAAGCATGTTCAGTTGAATGGGCTTTGGCCCGTCATTAGCTGATATTATTAAGAAGATACACATTCCGATATTGTTTGAACTTAACCCCGTCATGGCGTAGAAAGCGCGGCTTATGAGTAACACGACGTGTGGACTGCCATGTTCTTGCCATGTTTCATGGAAAACTAGGGCAAAAAATAGGGCCTGGTGTGACATAGGTCATAGCGTATATAGCGTTTCGTGCAAATCGTTGCGTACGTGCATGGGAAGGGGGGAACTGATGAGCGTTGCATAGCGCTGCCACGGACTACGGCGGCTACGCTAAAGCTACAGCTGATGCGGCTGCCACGGTTGCTACGGATGCTACGGCTGCTGCTGCTCCTGCCTTTGCCGTCGACCCTGCTCCTGGTCCTGCTACAAGTGCCGCTGCAGCTGCTGCTCCTCCTGCTCCTGTCCGCGCCCCGGTTCCTGCTCCTGCATACTGCCGCAAGCGCAGCTGCTGGTCCTGCCACCTGCCCCTCTCCTGTTGGTTTTTTCTTTTTTGTTTCTGAGTAACATGGTCGAACATTGAAAGGGTTGTGGAAAACCAACGCAATGTAACAAGATCGTGGGCCAGGTCGTACCATTTGCATGCATGTGGCCGTGTTTGCATGCATTCGACTGATGTTTGGCGCTTCGCGTTGACTGTTTTTGTTTTTGTTTGTGTGCCTGTGCATGATGTGCCGTTGTTTTGCGGGATGTTTTGGTGGAGGCCCGAGTTGTGTAATCAGGTATGAAGACAAGTACTTGCTGGTGGAGGCGAGGTGCCATGCGGGATTATGAGCACGCCTTTTGGTGCCTATTGTGTTTGTTGCGCTTCAGGGCGTGACCAATGCGGCAATTGCGTCGCAACTGAACTCGCTTGGCGCTTTGGGCCTCACCATGCAGCACGTGCAGAAGCTCCAAGAATGGTCCAAAGAAAAAGTCGCGCCTTGGCATGAACAGCTGCAGGATTGCTAAAACCACATGTGGTCGGACCTTGCTGCAACAAGGGTTTGATACCGGCTGATACCAAACTTGAATCCGAGACCACCACGAAAGCCGTGGTTCCACGATTCCAATCGTTTTAGCTCCGTAGTGTTTTCACAATGGGCAAGTCTTGGTGTCTGTGTAATTTTGTGGGCTTGGGCCCATCTCGGATTGCTGAGCTACCGGCGCACAGGTGTCGTTCCAATTCATCGCCGAGGAGGCATGTAACTACCTGCGGGAGGAAACGCGAGAAGAAGAAGATCCGACAAGGTCCGCTCATTGAACATGCAGTGTCTCTTGCAGATGCTACCAAGAAGGCGGCAGTAAGCTGCAACCGTAGCAGCGACTGCGGTGTAGACATGTTGATTGTGTTGATTTGTGAAATCGGACAACAGCATTGTGGCACGGTCCCGCGTCGCTTAAAGCGGGGAGGGATGAATGGCGTCCTCCGGCGTTACACGCCAGTGCTATTGCACCTCTGTTCACAAACTGCAGGCTAGGAAGTCCTGTCATGCTCGTGTCACGCAGTGGGGGGCGTGGGCTGTTGCATGGAGGCTGCGTGGGCGTGGAACAGATTGCAGCATCAGCAACACCACTTCGTATGCAAGCATTTCGCCCTTCTGTGCCAACATGTTCATGATTGCACCACGTCGACCCTGCCGACCATTGTTCAGGGCGTGGGCTTGGCAAACTCGGCGTAAGGAATGGCGAGGCGTGTTGAGGCCTTTGTATATCATGACGACATACTGCGAAGTCAGCTGCTAAGGCATGTCGAAGAGGTTTCTGTCCGCGGTGCTCTCCAGGCGGCCTTCACCAGCAAGGTGGCGGGATGGGGTCATGCACAGATGTTATTCAGCACATGACTGATGGGAAGCTTCAAAGCTAAATTGAACCAAACCCTGAACCAACAGTTGCAGGTGCAAGGCCCGATTGTGTCAGGTGGTTACGAAGATAACAGAGTACTTCTGGAAGTTTGAAGCCAAGTATGTGACTGGATCGCACTTGGGGGCGCGCCGCCTTGAACCGGCTGTCGACTCCAACAGGGCAGCAAGATCAACAGGTGTTGGAAGACAGCTAAGGAGCTTCTAGCAATCAGAGGAGTCGGCGAAACTGCGGATGACAGGCTGTGCTTGATGACGCGCACAGGAGTGTTTTGCACATCAGAAGTTTCCTCGCGAGTCGGCCATGTTGTGCCTTGAATAGGGATGTATGTGAATGCATCTCCAAGTGGCCGTGACTATGTCATATAGTCGCAGGACAAGCAGAGTTGATAACATCGGCGAAGCAGTCACCGCGACCGGAGGCTTCGAAGGGATTTCCGGGGTGCAAGTGAGCAGTTGCGCATGCATGTTCTCGCGATGTGTTGTGCAGATTGAGTTTTTCTTGAGGTGAAGAAGCCCGCGGTCAAATTGCAGGTGAGCCTTGGCAAACTGTGTCGTTTGCACAGCGGCTGGCAAGGTCGTGTCACGTGGTGCACTCAACATGTGTTGTGTCGCTTGCGCATATTGGCACATTGCGCCTGCCCATCATTGCACGTTCACGAAATCAGGAATGCGAATTGGCTCTTCCGCAATTTGAAGAACGACAAGGCCGGCAGCCACGAGTGTATGCAGATCAAAATGCATACAGGTCAATGTCATATATGTTCATGTATATGGAAATGTAGACCCTCCGCAAAGCCGAAACTTTTGCCCTTCACGCCGCAAGCCGAAACCTTCAACTCAAACCTCGCCTGGCTTGCCGAAATGCTTAGACGTTGCAGCTTTCGGCCGTGTTAAGAGGCACTGGTTATTCCGGGTTTAGGTTTGCTGTTGAGTTCTTGACCGAAACTCATATCACAGGGAAAGGGTCCATATAAATCCCTGTATATGGATAGATAGATAGATAGATAGATAGATAGGTAAATAGATAGATAGATAGATAGATAGATAGATAGATAGATCGATAGATCGATAGATAGATCGATAGATAGATCGATAGATACATCGATAGATAGATCGATAGATAGATAGATATTGTTTCATGGCCTTGGGTTTACATAAGGATGTTTGGGGTTTAGGCAGTCGTGTAGTTGGAGGAGAGAGAGCCGTACGATTCATGCTCCTTTGATCACTGTGCCGCCGAGCCAGCACCAGATATTTCCGAAGCGGAAAAGCCCAGCAAACAGAATGGGTGCACAGGCAACAAAGCAAATTCTGAATAAGGGAATGAGTGCTTCGCCCAGGTTGCGCCTGGTTTCACTGTGAACCGGCTTGCCAAAGACTGCAAAACTCCGAGACGCAACGAAGATGTCCAGCAGGCATCGCGGCTTTCTAAACCTTAATAAAGCCTTAGACCCGAAAACGATAGGGGTGGGAGTTCGAATTTCGGAAGTCTCGGATCGAGGTTTGCTTTGGAAAGTTTAGGACAAAACATGGGAGTTTCGGGTCTAGGATTTGATGTCAAGCTTTTTCTGAAATTCGTTGTGGAGCAATCAGCAGTAATTCGCAGTCAGCTTACATCACAGCCTATCTCGCTGCAGCGAGGCACATGGCCAGTTTCCGGTTTGGGGCTGAGTTGAGGGGCTGTGGAATTGTCGGCTGCAAGGGCTGATCTGAGCAGGTGTAGGGCAGGGTTGAAAATTCGGAGCGGTGTAGACAAACGCAGCCTAGATTTGGGGAGTTCCATCCAGGGCTAAAAGACACTAGAAACTGCGGTGCCGAAGCCTGTGTTTGTAAGATCTTGGTGTCCTTGGCTTGTAAGGCGGCACAACTACTGTAGCAAGGATCAGGAGCCATGGACCATCCCAATCCGGCAGTCCCGTGCTGTATCTGGATAGATACTTGTTGGTTGTTTCTGCCTTAATTCGCCCGGCTTGCCGTACTATGACAAACAGAGAGACGTTTGGGAACGAAAGGAGGGGGTACAGGTTCATTGTATGGGTTTGGGTTCCTAAGCCACGGGCTCCGGCTTGAGGGACCTTGGCATAAACTCTCGGCACAGGAGGGTTTCTGTAACTGTGTGGATGCCAGCGGCTTGTCCGATTCGATGCCGAGAGTGAGCCCTGACTTGAATCGAGGCATAGGGCTTATAGGGCTTGGATCGAGGCATACCACCACTGCGAGCGCGTTGCCGTTTTCGCCAAGCAGGCATCCAGTGGCTCGGAAGCATACTTTCTCATACTCGCCTGCTTTGATTAGTAAGCCCTCCCCTAACCATCATACGAAGCTTAAGTCTCGGAGGGCAACCGGCCCGGAATGCACCCGACGGTGAGTTTCAAAGGGCCAAGACTAGAGTACAAGTAGTAGGGGCGATTAGGGGACTTCAATGGTAGCGGGCTAGGGACCTATAACGCATTGGCTAAACCTGTATCGAAGCTCTCTCTCCCTCTCGCAGAGTTTAGGTTTTAGTTAAGGTCTCATTATCCGGCATCCAAAACCTTATGATTGCAAGAGCGAGTGTGTACTAGAGCGTACTTGTGTAGGTTGAGTTCGTTGCCCTGTCAGAATTTGGGGTCTGGGGTTCCTTGAGGATTGCAAGATCTGCAGCCAGCAGGGCCCGCAGGAACGTAGGACTTCGGTTTGTGTAGATTTGTGCGTGGGCTGGGACGGGGCAGGGGGGCAGGGTGGGGCGCAGGAAAGGAGGAATTGCCGAAACGTACCCTATTAAAGCCCGCCGACTTAAGCCGGCCAACCCCCTGCTACAATTTGTGCCAACCAACCCTCGCACCGCCAAACAAATGAGAGAGAGGCAAAAAGACAGAGAAAACCCAACCCTGTTGCTACGAAGGCTATCTCTCTGGGCTTTTCCAGATACAAACTGCCGCCAAGAAGTCCCTGGACCTCGCAGCCCTCCGAGGTTCGTCCCCTACGGTCTCGAGGTTGTTCTTGCGGTGTGGAGTTTGGAGGTATTCAAGGGTATAGTTAGGGCAAAATGTAGGGTGCTTCGGGTTCAATGCATTCAATCTACTTTCAGGAGGATGGGAGTGCTGTGGGGGTTCAGAGGCGCAGGGTTTTTGATCGGGTCTAGGGCTGGCGCTTCGTGGTGGACGTCACGAGGTGTTTTGCAAGGGTTCTTGGTTTCTACATGAATAGAAAACTGGCGGCGCGTGGTGTTCAAGAGATGTTGGGACCGGTTGTAGGGCATCGTAGGGGCTGAACCCTAAACCCTAAACCCTAAACCCTAAACCCTAAACCCTAAACCCTAAACCCAAAACCCCTAAGGAGGTATGGGGTTGGTGGCATGTAGAAAGCCCTGGGTCGCTACAGCTTTCTCTAGGGCCTTTACATCTTGAAGCTCTGCAGCCGTGAGCCCCATAAAGCATTTTACAGTTCATCTTATTAGGACTCTGAGTGTCCTGACCTTCAATCTTAAGAACCTCTTGCCTTAACGGCGCTGCTTAGTTAGTTGATGAAGGTTGGGTTTAAGGTTAGGTCCACAATATAGTACGGCACCCTTACAAAAAGGACCCCTAAAAGGGATCCTAATCTAGAAAACTACACACGTAGATATTGGGCGTGGTTTGCTTTGGGGTTATCAAATGGAACTAACCTTAAACCCTAAAGGCCCTAAACCCCGGAGCTTTGTGGTTCAAGGATTTGGCTTTGGATGTTTTGTTGTCGAGACCCCGAATACTGCAGACTTTGCAGCGGCAGGAGATGACAGTGTCTTCAGCCCTGTACTGCCTGTCATGGTTCAGACGCATGGCTGAATATGGACACAGATCGAGGGCTTACTGTAGAAGTCTTAGTTGTGAGAATATCCCGCTATCTGATGGTTAAGGCGCCTCATATTCGCTGCAACTTCAGAGGCTTCGGGAACTTGTTGCAGGGTTCAGGGATGTTTGCTTCATTCAACCTCCCCAAGCCTTTCAACTCTACCCTGCAGGTTTTTTAGGGTAGTGTTTCGGAAATAGCGATCCTTGATCTATGGGTTCCTTCAATCCCTTCTCAGGGACCGTATGCTTATGCTGCAACATGCTGGCTAACGGCGCCCACGCTCATTCTCTTTGTAGGAGTTATACCCCCGGATTATCACCGGAATCCTATGCTCAGGGCCCGTATGAGGAAGTTTTGCTTTTGTTGTTTTCAACCGGCGTTTACATTCAAAGGGAAGGTCCGCAAACCCAACACGCGGCGATTTAGCCTCGCCCTGCATCCGAGAATCTTTATCCCGTGCCTAAACCACAAAACCCGAAACCCTAATCGGCCGACACCCTGATTCTCTGAACCGGCTGGGAGTGTCGAACTCCGAAGCCGTAACTCTTGAACGTTCATCCGTGAGCCTTCCGCCGCCAAGGCTAAGCACACGTCCCAAGCCCTAAAACCCTCTGCACCGACAACCGAAGCCCCACGAGCCCTGCAACCTTGAAGGCTAGACCCCCAGAAAAAACAAAAGCACCAGAAAGCCCCAAGGTGCAGGGGGCCCTAAAACCCCCAAACCTCTGACAATGACGCCCTAACACTTGTGCCGTGCTGCGTAGAAAGGCAGGTTTGCCGTCGGGAGCTTTGATACCCTGCAGGGATTTGGGTTGAGGCCTTTGGGTATCTCTACGGTGCACCCCCCAACCCTGAACTCACAAGACCGCAAAACCACCCTAAACTTCAACAAACTCCGGACTTAGCTCTTCAACTCACAGCTGTACGTAATCCGCGACGCTAGATATCCCTGGACCCCCAAACCCTTAAACCTGTTTACTATTTCGGGGGGTTCCTGCTTAATACTTATCGTCTAATATACCATATACTCTAAAAAAACCCTAACCTTTCGAACCGCGAGACCATCCCAGGGCCCTCAACCTCTAAAGCCAAAGCTAAACTCCCAGAGCCATAGAGGCCGACCCCCCCCCCCTGATAAAACTTTTCAAGTCCTCGACTCCTTTTAACCATCCTAAACCTTTAAGGGCTCCTGTATGGGATCTACAGAGGTTCCCTTAAGGGCTCCCTTCAGGGATCTATGGGATTCCCTGAGAGGCTCCTTTAAGGACTCCCCTGAGTCCTAAGCCCATAGTACTCGAAAGCTGAAGCCGCACTTCCTGGGGCCAAGGAGCTCGCAGGCGGCGATCGAGGATCTAGGTCCTGCCGGGGAGGCCCTGGATTCAGGGTTTCTGGGTTTGTTCGTTGCGTGTGTGTGTGTGTGTGTGTGTGTGTGTGGTTTTGGGGTTTTGAGGTTTAGGGACCGTATAGAGACAGAGAAAAGAGAAAATAACTGAGAAAGATGGACTTCAGAAGACGACTGACAACCGGCCTCGACCGGAATCTACATGTGTGTGTGTTTTTTGGGTTTTGAGGTTTAGGGAGCGTATAGAGCCCAACACCCTAACTACCCCTACCGCCGCCCCCCCAAGGGTGCTTTTGGGCTTCGGGTGTAAGCATGTACGAAAGCCTAAATGCCCCGCACCCCGTTCCTTCACGCAGGCCCTGGTCCTTGTGGAGTCAGTCCATGAGGAGGCCCAAAGCAACGTGCAGATGACTGTCCAGGACCTTTCTTTGGGGCTTTGAACCCAGTCACACTGGCAGTTGGGTTTCAATGTTCTAAGGTTTGGAGTGCTTGCATCTCATTTCGCAGTACATGCCAACCACCCGGACAAGCAGTAGATTTGATTCAGAAGAGAGTACTGGATGCACGGTAAACTGTGAACCACCCGCCTCGCCTTTGCGATGGATGCCATCGGTGAGATGTTGCCAGGACTCTAACCGGCTGCTTCAGGAAGAAGTGCGGACTCTGAAAGGGAAGCTGCCTGGCTTTACATAATGAAACCTTGAACACTCGGAGTCCTGTGCAAGCCGAGGCAGGCCGATCTTGCAGAGGCCTTCCCGGAAGATGGCCTTGCCACGAGGACAGAGGCCTGCGCCAGTGGCAACTTTTATGGTCCCTCTAAATCCGAAGCCAAATACCCTACTAAAGCCTTAAAGCGCTGAACCCTAAAGCCCTAAACCGAAAAATATCACATAGATCGTCATATAGATAGACCTCATAGAGTCATAGAGCCGAGTAGCCCTGGAGCCCTGGAAGTTGAGCTTCGAGGCCCAGAGTTAGCTGGGAGATTGCAGATTTCAACGGTGGAGGGGTATCCTTGTGTTTAGGGTTTGGGGGCAAAGAGACATGCATACATACATACATATATATATATATATATATACACATACAAACATATGTGTATGCACTCTAAGAGCCATGACGGGCTTGGAGCATTGCACAGTATCCGAGCTTAACCAAGGGCTGTAGTGAACCCAGAGCCCTCAACCCTGATCCGAATCCTATTGTGGGGGTGCCGAACCCCAAAAGTTCCCGAAGATGGAGGCCTTTGCGGTCGTCGCCTTGCAGCATGTCGCCCGAGTGTGTTCCAGCTGGGCCGATGCAGTCGGCTACGTAGAGGACCTCTGAAGCTGTAGGATTTGAAGGGACTCGGGATTGAGGGCCTCTATGTCCATTGCAGCCCGATACGGAAGAGCGCAAAAAGCTGGCGAGGAATGGGCGGCATGGAGCTCGACAGGATTAGCACCCTCTGTGCGTAGCATGCTCAGAGCACGGTCTCAGATTGGGGGTCTTCTGTTGCTTTGGTTTGGGTTTAGGCCGGAGGCTTGTTCTTCTGATTTGTGGCGGCGTGTGAGATCCACACGTTTGCGCCAAGTTCATTTGTCAGCTGCCCTCCCAACTCCCCAACACCAACACGGGGTAAGGAATCCCTTCTTCGGGCTCCACATCAGTTTGGGGCGGGGGGGGGGGTGGGGTGGGGGTGTAGACATCTCATCACCACGACCCAAACCCTAAACACCGGAGCGACGACCGGCCTCCCCAACGGACCTTAAGCTTTACCATCACCCTCCGAAGATTTTTCAAACAAGGCATTGTAAGAAGAAGAGGCTGTAAAGCCTTATTATGAGGGTGTGCAGAGTCATGGAAGCCCCGCATCAATCGCCCATTCCCAAAAATCCTAAACCCCACCAGAGGACATGCTCCGCAAGCAGTTAGCTGCCGCCATCGGCAAGGAAGTTTCTCCGGCAGACTTTGCAGCATATATGAGGCCGGATGGTGGAGTTCACTGATGCCCTCAAACCATCTCAAGCCCAGAACCTTGGACTTTCGTTTGAACAAACAAGATTCTAAAGTCCAGTCCCCTGACAAATCCCCATGAAACCCTTAATTTAGGAATAGACCCTAAAGTATAGAATGAAGGCCTCTATAATTTAAGGTCTATTCCTTAATTAAGGTATAGGGGGCCAGCTTTTTCTAGAGCCTTGCAGCTGCAGAAAACCGTCCGTCAGATCGAAGTAAGGGGTTTAGGGTTTAGTGTTTAGGGTTTAGGGTCTTGAAGAAATGAGACAGGGAAGGAAGGTGATCTGCAGCTTGCCGGCGTTTAGATTTGGGGGTGCAGGTCGAGCTCTGTGTTCCAATCGAAACCCGCGGTTTCTTGCAACCTTTGGGCGAGAGAACTTTGTGTTTGCAGCTGCGCGAGTTTAGGGTTTAGGGTTTAGCAAAAAGGGCGTCTTTTGGAATGTGGCGGTCGGTGAAGGATTGGTATTCGTTGCGCTCAGCCTGAAAAGTTGCCGTCCACAGACTCGGCCTTCAAATTCAGAAACCTCTGTCTTTAAACCACACAAACATAAACCCCGTGAGCTCCACGAGCCCTAAGCCCCGAAGCCTTATGAAGACGCAACTTTTGGGGCTCTCTGGGCAGATTCTGAGCATCTCCCCACCCCCGGCAGGTTTCATTATCGCAAGCTCTTCCACGAGGCAGGGCCCGTCTTTCTTGCGTTTTCTACGTCGGGAGATCTGGGGCTCAGGGTTTAGGGTTTAGGGTTTAGGGTTTAGGGTTTAGGGACAGGGCATAGAGCTTCTAGGTCCTAGCCGTTCTATCGGCTGTGTTTCCGTGCTTCAAGCCAGTCTAGGGCGAGTGGCGGTGGCAGCCCGGAACTGGTCTCAAGGAGTGTGCTTGGTGTAGAGGTGTAGCATTGGGAAAACCTGTATGAGAAGAACGAAACGCTCTCCAAAGGATTGACACACACACACACATACACACTTCCGCCTGGTTACTGTTCCCACGACAGTGGACAGGATGCATTCTTGTTTTTGAATTGTCTCGAACAGGGTTGTTGCGCCAGGTAGCTCGAGGGCCTCGGCCGCTTTCTGTGCAAGATAGCCTAGACCTTTAGGCCCCGCCTCCCCAAAGCCAAAACTCTGACCCAACTCTGAACCCAAAGGTCAATACTCATCCCCTCTCCAAAAAACAAATAGTTCAGCTACAAAAATATCGTAAACCTCGTAAGACTTAAGTTCCCGGCTGTGCGAATTGCGTGTTGCATCTGGGTTGCTGTGAACCCACTTTGCTGTCGTGTGCCTTCGGCAGTATGCCTTAAAACTTGGCTTAAAGCATTTTAAGCCAGAATAGAGCTTCAGGCTGAGTCGTTTCGCCATATGTCTACGGCTTAATGCCCACTGTAAGAAGCAGAAGAATTTCAGCAATTAATCCGGAGCTCACGGAACACGAAATGCTTATGACTGCCATGCGCAGGCATTCCTGCCGAAGCCTCTCTGCTTCTCCGTTCGCCGTTCTGATACGCACAGCCCGGAGGGAACCGTGAGCATCGAGCCACTTATGCAAGATGAGGATTCTGCGCAAGCGGCCGTTGCAAGCTCACTATGATCCATAGGTGATGCAGGAGATTATGGGAGTATCGTCGGGAGAACGGGAGAACCTCATGTGTCAAGCAACCCAACGACCACAACGAGCAAAACACATAATTATTTACGCGTTTCCCGCTGGTTCAGAGGAGCAGTAGCTGGTCACGTGTCGTACAAGAACTTGAATTCTTGGCATTGCTACCCAATGAAAGTTTATTCGAGTACCAATCCTAAATCCTCAACCTTGGCCGAGTGTGAGCACCGAGCCCGAACCACTTTTTTGAAGCCTCCTGTATGCGCGGGCCACCTGCAAGCCGCAGCTAGAGCCCAGGAAGAAGCGGTAGTGGGGCCGGGTGGCGACTCCAACATCAACAGTCCCATCGTGACCATGGTGGCTAGCACTGCCGAGTCGGCTCCCATGACTTTTCCGCCTCTTGGCAGTTGGGGTGTTTTTGGCTGTTTTGATATTACAAGGATCTTCGTCTTCGTTTGGGTAGTGGTGACGGATGAAGAATGGATGCACCAGATGGAACGCTTTCAAACCAAAAGGTGGAGAGTAGAGGCCAATGCAGGTCATGGTCCAACATTGCAGGGTGTTGCAACTGTCATCCCGTTTGAGTCTTGGAGGTCAGGGCCCAAAATCCTGGAAACTCCCATCATCGGGAAGGGGGCGATAGTGATAATGCTGATGAGCTGAGGCTCAACGCGTCGACAAACGTGACTTTCGCTGGGGAGCGGCACCTCCACGCCTGGCTCTCGCACCAGTTCTCCGGCTCTGAGGGCATTAGGGCTTCGGCCTTAGGGTTCTCGGGCTTGGGGGCCCCAGGGCCCTAGGGTTTAGGAGGTTCAAAAAGGGCCTAGGTCGCAGCTAGTTCTCGGCAGCAAGGAGGCCGGGATGCAAAGTAAAGGTTTTCGGGTTACGGGCTCCAGGTGCGATGCAGCCCCTGCTGAAAAAGAGGGGTCTTGGGAGCTGTAGCACTGCAGAGTTTTAAGGTTTTAGTTGCGGCTTGAAGGTTTACGGCTCTACAGCTTTGGGGCAAGAGGGTTTTAGGGTTTGGGCTCGTGGGCCTGAGGGTTTTGAATTTTCCGGTTTGGTCTACCCATAGGGTCCATAGTAGTTCCTTTTTGGGGCTAATATTTAGAATCCTAGGAACTCTATGGGGCCTATGGGTAAGGCCTAGAGAGCCCAATGCCCCCTAACCAAAACCTAAACCCTAAACCCTAAACCCTAAACCCTAAACCCTAAACCCTAAACCCTAAACCCTAAACCCTAATCCACAAAGGTATTATTGCTTTTGCTCGGGGTGGCCTGTATACTCCCAGCAGTCAGGGTGTCTACTCCATTTCCGTTCGATGACCTGATCGCGTACCCACACACCCCAAACCGCAGTATGCGGAGGCACCAGAACAAGCCCATAGTCATAGTCTAAAGCCTTAGCTGCTTTTGACAGCCCTGTACGACCTGTGAATGCCTTAGTCCTATTAGTGGAACGTCCTCACCTCTGACTCTACCCTAAACCCTAGACCGGGCTCTCCGCCAGTATGGATGGTCATGCAGTCGGAAAAAGGTGTCAAAAAGCCCTAAGCTCTAAACCCTAAACCCTAAACCCTAAAGCCCAAACCCTACTAACCCAATCCGCCCCTTTAGCTACCGCGAGGTTCTCGGGACAGTCGGGCTGCGAGCTGTCGTTGGTGGCACGCGTCGCTTGGTGCTAAAGAGGTGATCGTCAAGATTAGCAGTGACAATGTCTAACCCCTACCCACACCCCCAAAAGGATCTAAAAAATAGATCCCCTAAGGGGGGTTCCTATAAAGTACCCTTTAGTAGTTAGGGTCCCGCTATAGTTTAGGGCTCAGGGTTAAGGGATGTTTAGTAGGGCATACTGTTACCATAATAATGAGCCCCGGAACCTTACTCTGATTGTTATTGGCCTTGCATGACTGACCGTGGCCTTTAAACCCCAAAATGAAAGGCGCACGCCCCAAAGCCCGGAACTCCACAACCGAAATTCCAGAAGCACAGCGGTGTGAATAGGATGCCGGGCCCCGAAACCCTGCACCCTTCTCCCCCAAACCTTCTGCACCTTCAAACCTTCAACCCTACACACCTTAAGCAGCAACCCTAAAACCCTAAACCCTAAACCCTAAACCCCAAACCCTAAACCCACCTTGAGGAGGGAAAGCACACCTTAAGCAGCATGGGGAGCACGGACCTCGAACCTGGAGACCTGAGGGAGTCGCCCGGTAGCCTTGGCCCGAACGTTTAGGGGTTTAGGGTTTAGGGTTTAGGGGTTTTGGGTTCAGGGTTTTGGGTTTAGGGTTTAGGGTTTAGGGTTTAGGGTTTAGGGTTTAGGGTTTAGGGTTTAGGAACTACCCGATACCCATCAACTGCGGAATCTACGAAAGAACAAATATGGGAGTTTCCAAAAATAGGGGGTACCTTAATTTAGGGGTCCTTATAATAAGGATCCTACTATTTAGGGTGCTATATTAGGGTCCCCTATTTTCGGAAACCCCCCATATATTAGAATGATAATCATCACCATCACGAGCCATCATCATAACAAGCATAGTAACCAGAACAGTTCTAACCTAAACCCTAAACCCTAAACCCTAAACCCTAAACCCTAAACCCTAAACCCTAAACCTTGAGTTCCTGGATTTCAAGGGGTATTCCTCTTTGGGAACCGAAGGACCGCGGTAGGAAGCTTCGGGTAATTTGGGCTCGTCGAAGGCGAAAAATTTGGTAAGGAGTGTTTGTGTCAGTCTTAGTATCAGACGCACTCATATGGCTCTTGAGGGCACGTTCTTCTGGGAATAGGATTTCTCTGATGTGCTGGACTGCTATAGCACCGGAAGTTCCCTGAGGCCAGGCAGTTCAGCTCAATGCTAGTTCTGCCACTTGGATGTCCCCAGCTTCAGAGGATCAAGGTTTTAGGCGTCAGGACACGCGGGTCCATGCTTGTAGGCAGCAGGCCAGGTGTTGTTTGTGGGCGGGGGTTACCCTAAACCCTAAACTAGGCCCTAAACCCTTAACCCTAAACCCGGTTGGTTTTGACTTGAAGTTGGTTGTGTTCCAGGTTTGGGCTCTTTGAGAGACAAAGGCCGAGGCTCCGAGGAGGGCGGATGCAGAGCCCGAGATGATCCGAATACTCAAGTGGCTTGCTGCCACATCTCAGGATCGGACGAGTTTCGTCTGCAACCAGCTTCGACCCGAAGTATGCAGCCATCATCCAGAACAAGGATGAGCTGACCATACCTTTGAATCTGTCGACGATCCCATCCCCAAAGGAGTTCAAAGATGCCATCGAGATCCTCGGAAAGCAACTTATCAGGGCTTGGTTCAAGGTGTCAGATTTCGATGTATTTGGAGTTGGCTTCGAAATTACCTCATGACGTCAGCTCGCACTGTTGTGATAGTTACTCAAATCGCTCGTGTCACAGGCTTCGAAAATTAGGGTTTCGGGCTTCATTGCACAAGTCCTGATGCAAAAAGGATAAAGGTATATCTGTGTTTATGTCTCAGGGCTCACAGTGGAGTGTTTTTGGGTTCCAGGCTTGAGTATGAAGGGAGACGTTCAGGTCTCTCTCACCAGAGCAGCAAGCCTTCGCGAAAGCCTTCCGCGCGATGCAGCTGGAGTCGACACTGTTCGGCGTGCTGGTGGTGCCTTAGACCGCCAATGGGAGAACTTTAAACCTTTTTGGCTTTATATATTAGGCCTTTTTGCTGCAGGCTATATATTAGGCCTAAATAAACCCTAAACCCTAAACCCTAAGCCCTAAACCCTAAACCCTAAACTATTTTGGGCCTGGTTGTTGAAGAAGAGAGGTGCAGATCAAGCCGCAGCTGGAGCGCGTGCTGAACCTGGCGGACGACAGCCTGACGAAGGAGATCAAGCTCACACAAGACTCTTAGTGGGATGAGTAGGTAACCTTTTACCTTTCGGGTTTAGGGTTTAGGGTTTAGAGTTTAGGTGGGGCTCTTATAATCCTACTATAATTCAAAAGGTTAACCTGTTTTAGGCTAGGGTACTCAGCCCCTAAGGATTTGATGCAGCTTTTCATCAAGCAACTCGGCGGAGATCTGCTCGCAGCAGGAAGCCGGAGCTGCCAAGTAGCGACACACCAGGGGCAGCAGCGGCAGATGTGCAATATTCCGCAATAGAGGCATCCACCTATCAGTGCACGGGCCAGACGATCCCAAGGAATCGGCAGCTAACACTACTGCAAGTCACAAGCCGTCTATCCCTTCAGGAACTCCGTGATTTCTGCGTTTAGAGCCCTGAGGTTCCCTTTTTTTGTGCTTCCGTCCCCCCATGAGTATACGGCATTAATATGCAGGAGCACCCGAGGCATTATCATCTAGGACAGCCCGCCCACCATTTGGCTGATGAGTACGGGTTTGCGCTGAACAGAGGTTTGAGGTAACTGTGAGCTGAGCCAGTTCTAGAATATTCCCGCAGAAAAGATGACATCCGCCTGATTGTTTGGAGTTTTCGTGGAGAGAACTGTAGTAGACGTCGGCAGAGAGAAGTGCTGCAAGAAGGGCAGGAAGACAAGGGACAGTTTCGACCGTTCCCCACAATGGCAACAAGGCAGACACACGAATGCCTCATCATCCTAATTTTAAAATCTAGACTCGAGACGTGCCAGGTATCAGATCCCCAGTGACTTGCTGCTTGGCGTTGGGGAAGGTCCTTGTTTGCTTTCGAAGAAGGTCAGGAGGTTCAGGAGGAAATGTTCGGCGGAGGAGCCCGCGTAGAATAGCATCGTTTCTTGAGCTGGAAGCCGTCTGTAATGCGGAGAAGAGCATTATAAGTTGAGTTCTTCTTATCAAGCACCGGCCGGCCCGGCCCTCTATATTGAGAAGGGGGTCGGTAGCCGCAGTGCGGTAGCAGAAATATGGTGGTACAGTACTGCCGCAGCAGTCACAGGACAGTTTCTATGGGCTCGGTCTCGGCCTCCCTTTGGAGCAACCAGATAACGATAACTGACTCTTTACAGCTCAGGGAGTCTGTGGAACCAGGGATGGGATTTTCTAGAGTTCGTTTATCGAAGTTCAGGGGGTGTTGTAATTGAGTTTCCGGATTCTTTTTTTTGGAGGGGGGTTTTTCTGCATTCGAACCCAACCTGCGCTCGCAAGCCCATTCTAGCCTTCCCATGCCTGCAGTAGTCCTTACACCCGGGGCGGCGACACATCTTCTGAGAGAAGGGCCTAAAGCTTTAAAGGTTGAACCATGAAGTTGACAACAAGCAAACTACGTCAAGAGGTGGTGCCTGGCTTCTTAAGAACTCTGCTTATCGAATGGCCGGTTTAATGTTGGAGATGTTAAGATCTGCCTTGCAACCCCGAGGTTCAGTCTAAATCTTGAATCATGAAAATGACAAGGCAGACACTTAAGTTTCTGTTGCATCCTGAACCCTTAGCTCAGTGACCCAGATCCGAAAACCTCGAACCCCAAAGCGTTCTAACCCTGAAGCACTAAGCTCTCAACCCTAAATCCTAGATCCTCAGAGTAAACCCTGAGTCCTCACTCTCAGATGCTACAACCCTAAAGTGCTCAGATGCCAGCAGATTCTAAACCGCAAGACCCAACACAGCCCTACACAGCACATGAACACAACCCCAAAACCCTCTAAACTGCTCCAGTGTCGTAGAACACTCAAGCCCGTGCATTTTATGACCTAAACTCCATCATCACCTCGAACGCCCTCAACCCTGCAGCTTTTCTCTCCGTTTTCGTAGAATCTGATATAACCGTGTGACAAAACAACCCAACAACCCTGAAAGGCCTTCCAAACCGAAGCAACTGTTGAAAGGCATTGTTTAAAGCCTTCCGTCGCTTACCCCCACCCCGCCAGAAAGCAAACAGAAGAAACAATCTCCGCCTTTAAAGAACCTAAGCCCTAAACCTCTAAACCCAAGATCTGCATCCTCACCGAAAGTGTGAGGGCTTGTGCCGACTATCCAGCCCTGCCATGCGGGCATTTCCATGCGGAAGTAGGAGGTCGAAACCTCTAAACGCCTCAAACCGTAAACCCTAAACCCC